GCAGGAAGTGTACTCTCACTAGCCATCTTGCCACAAGAATACAATGAACAAAGGGAAACACACACATTTATTTCTTACACATTTCGGGGTTGTTCTTACTGCTGTGTCTGATATCCATTAGCTGGAGCCAGACCTTACAATGTAAACTAAAACCCGATTGGCTAACAACTTAAAACTTTTTCTAAACAGATAAAAGCAACAGAGAGCAGAGACATGCCTGTGAGCACGTTCAGCATAGATACCTTGGTTAAAGTACAAAGACACAGAATGTACCATGTGCCTGTAAGCATGGCATATTTAACAGCTACACAGGATACGGCTTAACAAAGTTATTAGCACACTTATGATTTATTCTTTAACAAGAAAGGAAACTTTAAAAAGGAACTTTTCTACTTCCCGCATTTTCTATTTTTTTTTTCTGCTTAGTGTTTGTCTAACATATGATTTATATCTTTAACTTGTTTATTGTTTCTCTTTCCCACTAGAAGGTTTATGAGGGCAGGGATTTTTGTCTCTCTCATCATTCTTGTATCCCCAGCATAGAAAACACTGCCTGGCACTTAGTAAGTGTTTTATTACTATTTCTGGAACAAATCAAATAATGTCGATATACGGAAGGGTAGCGCTTCTTCACGGTACTACCCTTTACAAATGTGCTTTCTCTCCAGTTCTCCTGCTCCTTGATTTTGACTAACAAAAGCAATCTAAAGCAAATAGAGAAAAAAATAAAATACTTTCTTTAGGTTGTTTATCAGCTAACTCCTAGAGGTAGGCAGTGAAATGGGGAGGGTGGAGGGCCAGAGGTTGGCTAACTCTGCATTAGCTTTTATGGGCCCGCTATCTTGCTGGAAATACCTCCTGTTCTCTGCTTTTCACGGCAAACACAGCTGGTGGGATCTAGTTTATAGCATGCTTACTTGGTAAAGAAGCTTACCACGCCTTTGGTTTTTAGGGCGACACACCCCACACAGAGGAGGAATGAACACTCAGATTTACCAAGCATGGCAACTAAATTCTTAGCTGTAAGTGTGACACTTTTTGGGACAGAAGTTCTGGAGCTGTGGAGGAGTTACCTCAGGGTAAATGCCATCTGGGGCAGTCTGTCTGTAGCTGGGTAATGCCCAGGGCAGGCAGTGAACTTAGCAGTGATGATTCATGGAAATTCTGCCAGAGAAGGTACTCTGTGCTTTATTACAGGCTAAGCTAGGAAGCCAACTCATTCTGGAAGGAATGTGTATAAAGTTTTCAGATGAGGACTTGAAGTTTTATAGGTTGCAGTCACATTTGATTCAAACCATCTGTTTAATGGGAAGCTGAACCCAGCATTATTTTTCATACATCTCTCACAGTATTCAGCAATTCCGTGTCATAAGTATTTGTTGAGGGTCCATGGAGTGCCAGGCACCGGGGTCACAGAAATGAGTGAATCATCTTAGTTTTTGAGATGCTATGGCTCAGTGGAAGTAAAACTTAGGTGTTTATGTATGTTTTCCTCCCTATGATTGTGAGGTCAATGTCTGTAATTTACAAGAATGTTGGTTGCCAGGGCTGAGCATTGTGTCAATCCATTTTTGTAGATGAAGTGAATACATGAAAGAGATCGCAGTGATTTTACTGAATATGGGTAGTGAAATGTTTAACATTATTATGGATTACTGCTACTGTGATATTTAGGTTTATATTGCAATTGACTCTGGATTCAGAAAAAAATCTCTTCACAGTGAGGTAGTGACCAAAACTGAGGCATTAGGAAACAATAAAAATGCTGGAATAGCTGACCAACACAGGCTATTTTGTTCCCTGAGGCTTAAAATCAGTTTTTAATATGATGAAAAGGCAGCTATTATGTGACGTAGCTAGTAAGATGTTGGTATGTTAAGCATGAACATATATTTCCAGTTTTCTTTGAGCTGGTCATAAAATGACATTGGCTACTTTGTCATTTATTTTTATTTTTTAATTTAATTTTTTTTGAGACAGAGACTCGCTGTTTAGGCTGTAGTGCAGCAGCACAATCTTGGCTCACTGCAACCTCTGCCTCCCAGATTCAAGCGATTCTCCTGTCTCGGCCTCCCAAGTAGCTGGGATTACAGGCACCCACCACCACACCAGGCTAATCTTTGTATTTTTAGAGAGACGGGGTTTCACCATGTTAGCCAGGATGGTCTTGATTTCCTGACCTCGCAATCTGCCCGTCTTGGCCTCCCAAAGTGCTGGGATTACAGGCGTGAGCCACTGCGCCTGGCCTCGTCTTTTCTTTTTTTTTTTTTTATATAGTCTTTGAGACAGTGTCTCACTCTGTTGCCAGGCTGGAGTGTAGTGGCATGATCTCGGCTCACTGCAACCTCCACCTCCCCTGTTCAAGTGATTTTCCTGCCTCAGCCTTACAAGTAGCTAGGATTACAGGCACCCACCACAACATCTGGCGAATTTTTGCATTTCTAGTAGAGACAGGGTTTCACCATGTTGGCCAGGCTGGTCTCAAACTCCTGACCTCGTAATCCATCTGCCTTGGCCTCCCAAAGTGCTGGGATTTCAGGTGTGAGCCACTGATCCTGGCTTACTTCATCTTTTAATTGGGCCGATTATTGTAGCAAGCACTTTAGGGATCACAGAGATGAAAAAAGGGCTCATCCAAAGAAAGCTTAAAACCTAGTAGTGCTGGAATTCTTAATCAGACACATATGGTGATCTTGAACCTCTTGAAATAGTATACATCCATTATAGGCGCATTTTTCTGAGGAGAGCTTTCATCAAATTGTCCAGTGGTTCATAGACATAATTACATCCCTCTACTACAGAATTTCTTAATCTTAATCTTCCAAAAGATAATGAACTTCAGTAGCAGAGGACTATAATTATTTAAAGAACTACACCATATGGGAATCATAAAGAGCCTCGGGAGTTCGAATGAGGAGCAAAACAGGTGGCAACACCGAGTAATCTCTTTATAAAATCCTTGCCAATTTTGCAGGAGAAAATTTCTTTGCTGCCAGTAATGAAAACATTTTTCATATTTAACAATAGTTATTTTTTAATGAGTTACATGTTCCTCTTCTTTTCCCATTTTTCAGTTTGTGTCTTAGGATTTTTTCCCAATGAATTAACTTCTTTGTATCCTGATGGCATTAACCTTTTTGATGTTAATGCTTTTGGTGGGCTGACAAGGCCTAGTTTGAGGACTGTAAAATATTTTTAGGAATTTTTTAGTTGCATAATTTTATATTTTTTATGGTCAAGTTTTTATATATATTTTTGTAATTTATAATATTTAAATTTGGCATGCAGAGATCAGATATTTATTTAAATATTCTTATGGTCTGTGCTGCAGGTTTTTTCAGGCAGTTTATATGCTTTCAGGTGTCTTCTCTGGAGCAGGTGATGATAATTATGTATTGATAGAGAGAGGAAGAAAAGAGGTGAAGCTCTGGTGCCACATTACTGGAATTGGAATAGTGAGATGGTTAGCACTGTGGGGCCTCCATAGTTTCCCTGGGTTTGAACATGGCTGTGACATAATGTGTCCCTTTGACTTAACTTCTCTGTTCATTAGTTTCCGTATCTAGAAAATAGGTTTAATAAAATAACCTTTGGGAGGCCTAGGCGGGCGGATCCCTTGAGATCAAGAGTTCGAGACCAGCCTGGCCAACATGGCGAAACCCCATCTCTACCAGAATACAAAAATTAGCCGGGTGTGGTGGCTGACGCCTGTAATCCCGGTGGCTAGTCGGGAGGCTGAGGCAGGAGAATAGCTTGAACCCCGGGGGCAGAGGTTGCAGTGAGCTGAGATCGCGACACTGCACTCCATCCTGGGCTACAGAACAAGAATCCGTCACGCGGGGGTGGGGGTGGAGGTAAATAACCTACTTTATATAGTTATGAGAATAAAATGAGTTAATATGTAAACCACTTAGAATAGGACCTGGTATAAAGTCAGTGCCAGCCACAGTTTAGTCTAGGCTGGGTAGGTGCTTTGAAGCTTGATACTGTTTCAATGTACTCTGCATTTCTAAAAACGTGAACATTTCAAAGCGTTTATTTAATCTCCAAAGGACTACCGATACCGGAACCTCATCCCAGCACATTTGTAAGCGAGACACGCCTCCCAGAGGCCACGAGTGAAGTTAATTCCAGTTCTCGAAAATCTTGCAGACCGCATTTAACTGGTGTGGCTCTGACGCGCAGCTTGGGAGCCTGCAGTCCGACATCTGGAAAGTAAGCGGCAGGTCCAGTTCGTCTCTAGCGGCTCCGCTTCTTCCGCCCTACCTTCCCTCCGAGGCTGGGCTCTGCTAATTCCTGTAGACTGCAGAATGATTTCTGCGAACGTGCATTCTTTCATTCATTCGAGTTCATTCCACAGATAATTCAGCTGAGCTCTTACTCTGTGCGAGGCATTGCCGGGGAGCGGGGGAGTGAACTGAATGTGGAACCTGACAGTAAGGGGCTTGTGCCCCATAGGAGATTCAAAATATGCATTGTACGTAGATGGGCAAACTAACGATAACCTTGTAGCTTCTGTTTCCTCAAGTGCCAAATGGGGGTAATACAACCTTAGAGGACTTTATCGGTTTGTGAAAGATTAGAGGGGGAAAAAAAAAGCCCCGAATCGTAAGCTAGGTGCCAAAAGGATCCTAATGCCTGCTTTCGTCATTTCTTCCCCATCGAAACTGATGAGTGCCAGCCCTGCAAGTTAAAGCGCCATATTTTCCTAATTTTACGGAGTGTTTATTGGTGTCTCCAAATTTATATTGGTTCAATTTTCGGCATATGCAAGTTTTCCTCGCTAGCATTCGGCATCCTAGTTTCAACCGTTAAAAGCGGCTGACTCCACATACAGGAAGTACATCTAAAAAAAAATCCCCAAAACACTGATATCCAGAAATCTTAAAGCTGGCAAAGTAGATGAAACACATTTGAGTTCCCAGCCGCGCTCCACTGAGCATGCGCAGAGCCCAAGGCCCACCCCCCCCCCAATCCGCCAACGGGAAGTGGGGGAGGGCGGGCCTTCTGCTCTAGTCACTTCCGCCTCCGGTTTCATATGAACTCTCCCGCCACCCGGGATCAGTGGTTGTCAGCGTTTGTGTTTTCCAGAGTTTGGATTCTTGCAGGTAAGGGAAACTCCCGCAAATTTAGGACAGAGAGCAATCTTATTGTTGAGGCTTGCAAGTCGAGGGAAAGGAGAAATCCATCACTTTGCAGGAAGCAGGAGCAGGACAGACTTGGCAGGTTGGGAGTATTGGGTATTGGTTGGTTGCTTGGGGCAGGCACTTAGGTGCCAGGGAGGAGTTGAGGGGAGATAGGTTTGCCCGAGGAGTGGGGCGGGGGGTTGGGGATGGAACTTTTTTTTTTTTTTCTGAGACGGGGTTTCGCTGTTGTTGCCCAGACTGGAGTGCAATGGCACGATCTCGGCTCACCGCAACCTCCGCCTCCTGGGTTCAAGCAATTCTCCTGCCTCTGCCTCCCGAGTAGCTGGGACTACAGGCACGCACCATCATGCCCAGCTAATTTTTGTATTTTTAGTAGAGACGAGGTTTCACCTTGTTGACCAGGATGGTCTCGATCTCTTGACCTCGTGATCCACCCGCCTCGGCCTCCCAAAGTGCTGGAATTATAGGCGTGAGCCACCGCACCCGGCCTAGGGATGGAACTTCTATAAGTTACTTGTGGATGCTTCCTAAAAGGAGTTTTGAAAGACAGTTGTTATGTTTCCCAAAGTCATGGGAAGTAACTGGACCCAGTCCATCAAATAAGAACCTCATTTAGCCAGAACCTATGGCAATTTTCTGTGAGTTCAGGATTGAGGACCACGTAAAACTTTATGTTAACTGTTGGGATCCCAAAGATCCAAGAGCAGTGACACACAGGCCTATAATGAGCAGGCATCACCTGACTTTCATGTTGCTGAAAATTAGGCTCACCACCTGTATCTCCTCTAGCACCTCTTCCACCCCCATTACACATTATTATAGGTGTATTGTAGAAAATCTGGAAAATACAGAAGGACATCATCCAGGAGTTGCCACTGTTAATGTTTTGTGCATGCCTTCAACTCCATTTTTTTCCCCCGTGTTTGTGGAATTAGTTTTTCGTGTTGTTTTCTTTGTTTATTTTCCACTTTATTTTCCATCATTTTATGCTTTTTATGTGCTTCCTTCTAAGGTGACCAAGATGGAGTTTACTGGAAAACTGCGGAGGATGCAGTGGTTAGCAGGTGACCAGAGAAGCGCTTCCTACCCTCATTGCCTTCAGTTTTACTTGCAGCCGCCTTCTGAAAACATATCTTTAATAGAATTTGAAAACTTGGCTATTGATAGAGTTAAATGTAAGTGATATGCAAATTAGAATGTATGTATTCTTGAGAAGCTCACTTACCCTTTGTGAGAATGAATGAAAGTAATTCATTTCCTTCATTCAGCAATCCATTCAACAAATATTTATTGAGGGATTGGTGCTCATTCATTATTTATTGTACAATGCATATTGTTGAGTGCCACTATGTTCTAAGTGGCAGGGATTTTGAGATGAATAACATAATTTTTTGTGGAAGGTATATTCTAGTACATGGACACAGACATCCAAAATAATAGTCATAAATCAGTATTTTAACTGCTCTAGCAGAAGTTAATGATAGTGCTGTTGAAACAAAGAAGTGAGAGTGACTGACTTAGTCTGATTAAGTAAGGCTTCTTAGAGATGTTGAAATGTGATCTGGACCTTGAAGAATGAGTAGGAATTTTCCAGCAGAGAAGTGAAGAGTTTTTCCAAGCTGAGTTAATGGCCTGTGCAAAGGTTTGGGGCATGAAAGAGAATTTATTGAGATAACAGTAACAAGTTCAGGAGTTCAGGGTGGATGCAGAAGTACAGATAACGGAGGGCATTTTGTGCCATGCTAATGATGTAATAATGAGGTGTAAGAAGGATATGGCCATTGTCCTAGGGGCCTACTTATCCTCAGTGTGTTGCTAGAGGAAAGAATGGGTTAGACATGAACTGAAATAGAAACACTAGCATTGTCTTCAGAGTTAATGTTCCAGGATATCCTTGTGGGGAAATGAGAAGGAAAGGTAAGATACTGTTAATCATTCTTAGAGGAGCAGGGTGAGCAATGCTAATACAGAGAGGAGGCACCTCCTCAGTACCTGTGTGTTGAGTGAAAGAATGACGACAAGGGAGAAAAGAGTTTCAGAAAGCTTAGCAGTGTCAGATACTTCAGAGGGATTAAGATAGTGATTGAAAAGTGTCCCTTGAGTTTGGCTCTTGAGGTGAAATGATAAGGGCCTGAACTACTGCAGTGACAATGGCAGTGATAGGAAGGGGGGAGAGATATAAGGGATGCTGAGGTGGGGCATGATAGGATTTGGTGACTGGATATGAGGAGTGAGGGAGCAGCTGTGGAGTGGCTGAAGTTCCTGCTTGGATGATCTGTTGCATAGAAACTCTGCTGATGGAGGTGGGCATGGCAGGAAGAGGAGTAGGAATGAGGGAAGGATAATTAAATTTGGATACCATGATAAGGAGGTACCTGTGGGACATGAGTTTATGTTCAGCTGACAATTAGAAGTTTTTGGTTCTTGACTTCAAAAATGCCTCCAGATAATAATTCATCTGAGGAATGATTGATAAGGTGTTTTAGGAACCTTTGAACGATATGTAGCACCTGTTCAGGATGGTTCATTTGGCTGATTGGATGTCTCTTCTTCTTCATTGTTGTGCCCTGCCCTTGGCTTCATCAGGAAAGGAAGGGCTGCTTTTTTTCTGATGAATCTATGCTGAGTAAATGAAACCAACTGCCTAACAGGCAGCTCCATTTGAAGGATGCACACAAGGAGTGCTTAGTTTTTTTTTTCCATATTGACATACTTTTCTGTTCCTCAGCAACAGTGGCTCCGTACAGGAATGATTATTCACCATCCATCCCTCTTCCCTTAATGAGAATCCCTGGTATTAGATTATGCTGTGGGACATGGATATTTTTTGCATGTAAATGGACATTTTTCTCTTATAAGCATGTGTAGTTTACATAATGTAGTTACAGGAAATAAACTGGCAATTACTTATCATGTTCTGTGAACAGGTAATTGTGGAATTGCCCTCCATAGATTTTGTCTTGGATTTAGTTTTAAAACAATATCTTAGGCTGGGTGCGGTGGCTCATGCCTGTAATCCCAGCACTTTGGGAGGCCAAGGAGGGCAGATCACGACGTCGGAAGATCAAGACCATCCTGGCCAACATGGTGAAACCCCATCTGTACTAAAATACAAAAAAATTAGCCGGGGATGGTGGCGTGTGCCTGTAGTCCCAGCTATTAGGGAGGCCGAGGCAGGGAAATCTCTTGAACCCAGGAGGTGGAGGTTGTAGTGATCGTGCCACTGCACTCCAGCCTGGCGACAGAGCAAGACTCTGTCTCAAGAAAACCAAAAAACAAAGAAACAAGAAAGACATTATCTTGCATTTATGCCTTTTTTCTTTTTTTTAGTGTTAAAATCAGTTGAAAATCTTGGAGTGAGCTATGTGAAAGGAACAGACCAATACCAGAGTAAGTTGGAGAATGAGCTTCGAAAACTCAAGTTTTCCTACAGAGTAAGTAAAAAAGGAAAAAAAATTCCTTCAGTTTCTGTATATTTATGTATCGAGTGTAACTCATGGGAAAGGGCTTATATTAAGCACTCGACTTTTATAAAGGGTAATGTATCATGGCCTCTGCCTGAAGGTACTTCAGTCTGTTAGGGGTGATTGACGTGAAGTCAGATGATTATAATATGGTAGGGTTTCTCAACCGCAGGACTAACATCATTTTGGGTCTAATAATTCCTTGTTGCAGGGACTGTCCTGTGCATTGTAGGATGCTCAGTAGCATCTCTGGCTTCTACCCCTACATATTTCCAGACATTGCCAAATCTATCCCGTACAATATAGGATAATGACTGTGTTTATAGATGTGTGCTCCAGGAACTCCAAAAGCATATATAATTACTCAGCTCAAATTGGGGAGGTTTGGGAACACTTTCCAGAAGAGGTAGTACTGGAGCTGCGTGTTGACAGATGTGATCAGATTTTCATTTTGGGAAGATGACTGCCAACAGCAGATTGACAGGGTCATGTTTCTTAGGAGGGAAACCAGTTAGAACCCTGGAAATGATGAGAGTCTGAATTAAACGAGAGAACGGGACTGATTGAAGAGGTATTAAGAAGGTGAAATCAAAAGGTTTTAGTGACTGATTTTAGGGGGAATGGAGAGAGAAGAGTGACAAATGATACCCAGGTTTCTAATTAGGAAAAGTAGTGGATGGTGGTGTGTGATATGCAGGAGGAGAACTCAGTCTTGGAAGATGTAGAGTTTAGTTCTCAACATGAATTTGAGGTGCCTGTGGAGATGTCTAGTGGACAATTTGATATGTAGGTCTGGATATACAGAAGACATCTGGTGGGAGTATAGATTTAGCAGATGGTTGGAATCATCAGGAGTAGGTAAGAGCACCTGAGCATAATATTTGTGTGAGAAGAGATGATGATGGAAGACAAGACATGAGGAATACTAATGTTGAAGGTAAAGTGGAATGGGAGGAGTTTGGGAAGGAGATTGAAAAGGAGGTTTCTGAGAAGTAGAAGATGAACCAGGATAGTAGTGTCATGGAAGCCAAGGAGGGCTGGAGTTTCAGTAATGATCATGATGTAAATAATGATAATAGGGAATAACAGCTGCAGATATTCATATTAATAGTATGTTTACTATGCACCGGACTTTGTTCTAAGTGCATTACATATATTAACCCATGTATGTAATTCATATAGCAGTCTTAGGAGGTAGGTATTATTATCATCCTTATTTTACAGATACAGCCTATTTATTGATAGGCTGAATACCTTGCCCAAGCTCATAATATGGTAAATGGTGAAGCCAAGATTCAAATCTGGGTATTTTGTTTCTGTGGTAGTGCTTTTAACCACAACAGTTTCAGAAGCTGAAGATAGATTACATAAGAAGAATTGTACAGTGTCCATTGGATTTAGCAGCAGGCTGGACCCTTGTAGATAGGGGTAGAGACCAGAACAATGACAGTGGTTGGAGGAGAAAGATGGAGAGGTGGATATGGAAGATGTACTGTTTTAAAATGTGTAGCTGAAAAAAGAGAAATAGGGCAGAATATAGAGGTTATTTTAGGGAAAAGAGAAGATACACAAGCACACATTTATACACGTATGACAGGACATACTTAAACACATGTAGAAACTGAGCAGAAGATCTAGAATAGAAAGAGGAAGAGAGGAGCTTGAAGATAAAACTTTGAAAGAGCATTTGATAAATGAGGGTCCGTACGAGGCACAAGCAAATGGGTTGGGGGGTTTAGGTGCAAGAATTAGCTTCTCATATGGTTTGGCTGTGTCCCTACCCAAATCTCACCTTGAATTGTAGTTCCCGTAATCTCCATGTGTTGTGGGAGGGACCCCGTGGGAAGTAATTGAATCATAGAGGCAGTTACCCCTGTGCTGCTGTTCTTGTGATAGTGAGTGAATTCTCATGAGATCTGATGATTTTATAAGGAGCTTTTCCTTGGCACTTCTCCTTACTGCCACCATGTAAAGAAGGACATGTTTGCTTCCTCATCTGCCATGTTTGTAAGTTTCCTGAGGCCTCCCCATCCCTGGGGAACTGTGAGTCAGTTAAACTTCTTTCCTTTATAAATTCTTGGGTATGTCTTTATTAGCAGCATGAAAATGGACAAATACAGCTTTACATGCCGGGAAGAGGAGATGCTCTGTAGAGATGGATGGAAGGCAACACAGCATGTGTATGCAGAAGCTTGGTACTGAAGGATACTGCCTAGTAGTCTTTATTTTCTGTAAAGTAGGTGAAGTCATGTGTTCAGAGAGAAGGGAAAGGTGCTCTAGTGGGGGTCTTGGGACAGCTGGTAAAGACTGAAGATTTTCTGAGGAGTGAGGAAGAAAATGATTTTGTGTCAAATATCAATATTGCTTCTTATTCTGGACAACCTTAGTGACCCCGAACAAGTTATATAACTTCTCTGTGCCTCAGTTTCCTTATCTTTAAAATAGGATTATAGTAGTGCCTAACTTGTAGGGTATTTTTTTTTAAGGATTAAATGGGTTAATGCCTTAAAAAATGCTAAGGGCATTGAGTGGTACCTAGTAAGTACTCAAGACATGTTTGTTCTTATTATTTTGGAACTAAGTATTCCATGACAGTGGTAAGGATCTAGTTGAGATTATAGACCATGAAATTATATTTTCCCAGTTCCCATAGTTGTGTGTGTTTTTTTTCTTCACAGGTTCTTAGCATTTTGGGAATAGGACTGCAGAGTGTCATTTTAGATTAAGTAAGAATCTAAGTTTTACCAAATGGTTCAAATTAAAGAAGTTGAGGTTGTTGTAAGAAGTTGTTGAAGTGGAGAGCACCATGGGTATAGGCTGGATAAGAAGAAAATTGAAAGAGAGGAGTTGGTGGGAAGAAAGTAGTGGGGTCCAAACCCAAGAAGTTTTGTTGAGATTAGTTTACTTCTCAGTTTCATCTGATTGGTAACTGAAGTAAAATGATAATTGCCCTGAAAAGCATATTAAAAAATGTTCTGGCAGTGACAACACATGTGGACACAGGGAGGGGAACACCACACAGCAGAGCCTGTCAGCCAGTGGAGGACAACAGGAGGGAGAGCATTAGGACAAATACCTAATGCATGTGGGGCTTAAACCTAGATGATGGGTTGATAGGTGCAGCAAACCACTCTGTTACATATATACCTATATAACAAACCTGTACTTTCTGCGCATATATCCCAGAACTTAAAAGAAAAAAAAAATGTTTGGGGACTGGGTGTGGTGGCTCATGCCTGTTAATTCTAGTGCTTTGGGAGACCAGGGTGGGACGATTGCTTGAGACCAGGAGTTGTAACCAGTCTTGGGAACATACTGAGACCCAATTTGTACAAAAGATAAAACATTAGCAGGGTGAGGTGGGTGTTGCTTGTAGTCCCAGCTACTTGGGAGGTTGAGTCTGGAGCATCACTTGAGCCCAGGAGTTTGAAGTTACAGTGAGCTGTGATTGACCATTACCCTCCAGTTTGGGTGATAGAGTGAGACTCCTTAAAAAAGAAATGTTTTTGAAACTTACTTTACCATTGGCTTAGGCTGGCTTAGTATTTATTTATACCTCTTACCATTCTAATGTATTAATTTTATTCATGTGTCATTATTTTTAAGGAAAACTTAGAAGATGAATATGAACCACGAAGAAGAGATCATATTTCTCATTTTATTTTGCGCCTTGCCTATTGCCAGTCGTGAGTATATGTTTATGTTCTCACAGTCAAATCTGGTGTCTTGGGTTATAAATTGGTATGTGGTAAGTTGATGTGTGGTGCTGAACATAGGAAAACCCTGAATAACATCAGGACTAGTTGATCATGGGTTCAACACTGTTACAGTAAATTGTTTGGAACATATTATTTACTTAAAAATATTGAAAAAAATTCTTGCAAAAGTTTGCCTGATGAAACATATCTTAAGTTTGTGAGAGAGACTCTTCATTTGAGATTTTAAACCGGAAGGGATTTTATTAGGAAGAAGGACTTTTGATGATATAAAATGATATCATTTTCCTGCAATAAAATGAAAATATTTATAAGAAAAAATTAAGCCCACACTTGAATTTGATACAGGTTTTTGGAATTTGAGCTCTGTGGGCCT